ATTCTATTAAGAGGAAAGAGAAACAAAGAAAAAAACAAACGTTCAGAGAGGGGTGGGAAAACTTGGGCAGAACAGTTGTAAGTCGACTCAAGCTAATACACTTGGTACAATCATATGAGCGATAACTTCTAATTTCAATCTAGGCTGCAAATGTTCATGCAGAACGTGAGAGAACATCGAGGAAGATCAGTTCAATCCCTTTAGGGAAATGTTCCAAGAAGGGAGTGCCTCGTACAACCTACAAAGCACAGATGTACTAAAAAGCTATAGGGTGCGACAGTTGTTTACCTTTGTTACTCCATACATCATGATGCATTGTCGATCCTTTTAACTATAGTCATGGGACACAGCATCCCCTGCTATCTTGCGCAAATTTCCTGAATTACGGAGTAGTCTAACCTCCTCTACAAGATTTTCGTATTTCTCTGATCGTTCAAGTTTTCCCACCCCTTGAAAGGTCGGAGAGAATGATTAACCAAGACTTTATTTCATCCAGGGTTACCTAGCTCTGTGTTCAAATGAGGATTGTTCCACGTTAGCCACGCTGCCCTTAGTCTGAAGAGGAAAGTCGAAATAGATATTACAGAGTAGTCGGCATCCAATCTGTGAGTCCTTGTCAGAAAGAGTCCACCCAATTTCTCTGCCAGTGAGACGGAATCCACCCAGTGGAGCTACGGAGAAATCTGATAAAACCCTGATCACTCTGAGTCAAATCATTTTCTCGCATTGACCCGTTGCAGACTCCATTAGATCCATAATAAACTCGGTAACCGAGTTTGCCAAGTGAAAAGGGGGGAAAGATAAGATCGTTTACTCGGTGAGTCCCGAGTGCTCCGGGAAATTTGCGTGGGAATTTGTAGGAATTCCCACCTCATTGGATGCCTTTCCGGCCTTCCGTTTCCCGTTTCGCGTTAGTGCTTCTTGATGCTTTTTCGATCACACCTGCAGCACTCAGCATTGGACAATGGGGTGTGTTGGTATCAAGTGCTTCTGCAGGGTGATGGAGATAGTGCCAAGGAACTTCCAAAGCATGCCCGGCACTGTGAACAAGGCAATTATTGAAACCGTTGCTCTTTGCTAGTTTGCCTACTCCGTAAAGAATCCTCCAATACTCCCCATTTGATTAGACTTCTTTAGCGCTGCCAGTAAAAAGGAAACCATCCGTGAAGCTGTCAATCACACTATTATACAAGATCCTCGGATTTTTTTTTAGCCCAAAGTAACCCTAATCAGTCCAAATCGGACTTTTCAAAAGCTTCAATTTCCATCATTCCATCCTCACTGCTTTTCTTCACGCTTTTCCCCTCCACACCGATCCAATAATAGTGACAGCGGGTATGACAACAGAAATTGGAAAGCATTCTCGGAGTGCCTCATCATACGCCTCAAGTACCCTTGTTGCAGCCACTGAAACATGTCGCTCTGTAACCGTATACCGGACTATCAAACTAGTACCAATGGACACAATTGTTGTGTACAGAATAAGTTGAAAGAAAAAAGACCGGATTTTAGATACCTGCTATAAGTCAGCACAATAGAACTTTGAGCTTCAATAGGCCGGCCTATCGTATACTGCAATACCCGAAAAAAAAGTGTACCTTTTATTACAGCACTAGAAGTCAAAAGGGTGATGTTAGACTGCTGCGTGGTTTGGTTCTTGACTATCTAGAACTCAATCAAGACACAATATTCGAGCACAAAGATACTGACTGCTAGTAGGCGATAAAAAAAAGCGGAATTGTGTCTTTATAACCCTTCTATGATGGACATTTTCCCTACATTTCCTAGCTAGATAAAGAGCTTTCAATAGATCAAAAGACAACGTTCTTCTAAAACTGACTATAGCACTAATCATCTTCTTTCCACTTTGACGAATTGTTTGACTACAGTGCGGAAAGTGCGGATTACAGCTTGTTTATAGGTTAGCCTACATTGAGACAAACCCCGTGTCGAAAACTATGATTACCTATTGAAAGGTATTTGCGGCCTATATGGTAAGATGCATATAGCAATGAGCTAGTGAAGTAATAACTGTACTGTAGTTTGAGTATTTCCTATCATCTTGAAGGTAAAATCCGATCTACTATTAACGTAATTCCCAAGCGAGCTGGACACCCAAGCGAGCTGGCCACCCCAACCAAAACACGTCCATGAATTAGATCTTAGTTAGTTCAACCACCCACCATGCCACCAATTCATACTCAATCCTCTCGAAATTCAATAGAGTAGGAGGGTAGGATCTTACTAGCTATCCAGGCTTTTAAGAATCAAGAAATCTCTTCAATTCGTGAAGTGGCGCGCCGTTTTAACGTCCCAAGATCCACCCTTTCTACCCGCCTGAATGGTATACAACACCGCGCGATTTCTCGCGCAAATTCTCATAAATTAAGTGAGATTGAAGAGTAATCACTTGAAAAATGGATATT